ACGGGAACTCTAAAAAATATGCATTTCAAAAATGTTTGAGGTCCGATTTTATAAGTTTTCAATTCAGTTAAATCTTGAAAACATTGGGAACAGCAATTCTTATGACTTTACTATAATTTTAAGTTTTTTAATTGATTTATTTTATGGTTTTGAATTGAGCTAATTGTTTTTCAATTGATCTTTTTTATAATAAAATCATTTCTAATTTTATGACACATGTTGTAATTTCAGAAAGTTAAAGACATGTGGGAAATAATGAAGTACATGACTCAACTACCCCCATTTCCTCAGTCAGAAGATCAGATTAAAACCCGAAATTCTGTTCCATTCATAAACGCTTTGGTGAAACAAGGGAAGAAATACCTGGAGGATCGGTACTTCTAATTCTAATTTAGTGAAACAGACCATATTTTCACATTCATATTCCAGTTACAAAACATACATGAGTAACATCATCAACGAAAATCTATCAACTGCGATGCTTGGTGGAGTTCCCGGCACTTATCCTTTAGTTCGTAGTTACGTTGGTGTCCGTCTTCAAGGCGAATATTCGGGTTTGAAAGATGATAAAATCGATGGAAGGCCTTTGTGGCCTATGGTGTATTATTGTATAAGGAGCGGGGATTTGGCAGCAGCAATTTATTGTCTAAAGAAGAAAAACGAAAAAGAGTTTCAAGACATTATTGCCATTTTAGAAGCAAAACTTAATAATCCTGACAGTCCCGATATTTACAAATTGGAGGATAATGTCCGTTATAATTATCGCAGACATGTTCGAAATGAGACTGACCCTTTTAAACGTATTGTCTGTGCTGTGCTTGGATGTTGTGACGTTGTTGATGAACATTCGGAAGTGGCGAGAACCGCCGATGATTACTTATGGTTGAAGTTAAGTTTAGTGAGAGCTGATTATGAAAAAGACGACCACATCAAATACAACGACTTACAGGTGTGTACATTATTTAAAATAATATTTTTTATTATACCTGCATCATAATCCTAAATTAAAACACGCTGCAGCGTGCGTAATTTGGCCTTTATTGCACGCTGAATTTTAAAGTTGTCTAGGTAACAAGAAATAGTGAAATATCTGGACCAATTACAACGTGAAAAAATGTGCTTAACAACGTAACCGTCTCTACGGAAACGATTCACAAACAACCTTTGATAATTTTATTGTGTAAATTCACATTTTTTCAATGCTTGTAAAAGATCCTAAATGGGCAGGTACAATAAAAAATATCGTATAACACTCGTTTATAAGCGCCTTGAAAACACTGCTGACGCGTCGTGCTCTTAAACTCGTCGTGCGTGTTTTAAAGGATTGCTTATAAACTAATATTATAATATACTATAATATTACGGAGGACTATAAACTAGGAGACGAAACGAGATACAAAATCGCTCGATTTTTTGGACCCAAATAAGTAGTACGGCAGAGCAAAAATGAGGGTGCTTAGTGCGTTTTACCGTCTCAGTTTCAAATCATTTTAAATTAATTTAAATTCAACCAGTTTACTAATTGCTTGAAAAAAAAATGCAAAAATGTTGAACTTTACATTCTTAAGCTGTGAAAGACCAACGAGTAAATTTTTACACAAAAAGTGTAGGGGACAAAATTGTAGAGAATTAATTTTTCTACAAAAATGTCCTCGAGACCATATCTCTATCTTAAACCATTTAGGTTTAAATTAATTTTCTTTTTACATTTTTCTTGTATTTTTAACGGTATTCGCAAAATTTTAAAAAATATGATGAACCAATAGTTTTCAATAAAAAATTTTTCAATACCTGTATATTTTATTATGGAGAATTTAATGCTCTATTTGCCTATAATTTGTTTGTTTGCGTTCGGCTCAAATACAGCCATTTTTTATATTTCATTCCTCTTAAAACTTAGACGGGAAAGGAACAATTGCGCTATCTGGCCTCACGAGTGACGTACTGAGCAGGGTGTTGTGGGTTCCATGGAACACGGGCCCGGACCTTAAAGGGGTCCGCACGGACCCTTTTCGTTGTCCAATTACAAATTACAAAAAGTCCAAAATTATTTTTTTTATATTAGCTGTTTTTTTATATTAGGTTCTGATGACTAAAAAAACTTTATTTCTGCTTTAGCTCATAGGTATAGAAAATGTTAAGCAGAATTGGATTCTCCTCCATTTAATGAAGAAAAATTTAGTGCCTTTAAAAAATTTGTCTTATGAATATTTGACTTTCCCCAAGCGTAACGCCAAATTTTGGGTGTTCCTTAATAATTTTTTTAATTATGAATCTATCATAAAGAAGATCGATCATTTCTCTTTTCAATGCCAAAATACGATTTCATAATAGTTCAAAATTGTAGAGTTAGATATATTTTTGAAGAGGAAGATTCAAAAATAAAAATTTTCAAAAAGTCTAAAATCTCAAAAACGGCTGGACTTAGGTATGGGGAGATCGATAATAACTCTTATAGAATAACTCGGGAAATCCAAAAATGCCATAAAAAAAGCATAGCTTTCTATTTAAATTAACCCACTTCCGATTAACCGGAAATACAAATAAGTACAAATTTTTAGACAAATATCATTATCAGAACTCCCAGTACTTTTAATGTGAAGTTTAGCCGGAACATTCTGTATATTGAATAGGCATACTTATTAATTTATTCATATTATTTTAAATTTTAATAATAATAATTAATGTAATATAAAAAATGTGATCGTATTTTGAGAACAAAATTTTGTTTTGGTTTTGGGTTATGCGATTTTTTTGTCAAAATTTATCTATAAAATAAAAAAAAAATAGGGTGCGCCAGAACTCGCGCCCCAGAGAAAAATGTCATATAAGGTAAGACACCAGGAACGTGGAAAAAATGTTAAAAAAAATTTATCTATAAAAATTTCGAAGTTATGACGTTTTAAAGTTTGCACTTTGACTCTATTTATTTCTGTTGGAAAAATAATTTTCCAAGTTTTTTTGCTATAGGCTATTAAAAGAGGAAACAAGGAAGCAGTATCCTAAATTGTAACTCTGTTCAATGTTATTTGTGGCTTTTATTGGCAAAATTTTTGTCCCTTTACTAAATAATTGTAAAAAAAAAACATATACAAGATCATCAGTATCATTAAATAGATATAAAAAAAAAATGTCAAATGTCAAAAAGTAAATGTCAAAATTTTTTGACAGATAGAATTTTTTAAACATTTTTTTCATGTTCCTGGTATGTTATCTTAATTGAAATTTTTCTCTGGGGCGCGAGTTCTGGCGCACCCTGTATATAAAGTAGATCATTACCTTCATGGGAAAAATGGTTATAGTGGGTTGCCATGTAAAAATAGTTATTTATTTTGCACTCGATGTTAGGAGTGCTTTTATCAACTAATTACAATAGATAAAGTAATCTTTTATCGTCTAGTGAAATAAAGTAATTTTTATCTCATGTTTAGATTTAAGAAATTCTTGTAGGTGAGTACAAAATAAAACGAAATATTATACACGACGATAAAGATTGTTTATCTACTTATGAAAAAAGTCCACTCGTGACTTCGTCTCTCGTTAATTTAACCTTTTTACTCGTAGATAAACAATTTCTTTATCGTCTTGTATAATAATAGTTATTTATTATACAAGACGATACTTTTACTTACTTTATTTCACTAGACGATAAGAGACTACTTTATCTACTGAAATTAGTTGATAAAATACAAGGTGCCCATTTTATCTGTGTCCGCCTAAAGGAGAAAAATAGGCATCATATTATTTTATTTCATAAATAATTTTGTGTAAAGTATTAACTATTCTAAATTGAATAATCATAATCGGTGCTTGACTATCGAAAACTTAAAAAAAAAAATTAAATTCAAAACTCAAATGTAGAATAATGGGAACAACAGCAAGAAATTAACAAATTATTGAATTACTGGTTGCCTATTTATGAAATTTAAGGAGGGAACAGATAAAATATATAAACAGTAGATAAAAATTACTTTATTTTACTAGACGATAAAAGCCTATTTTATCTACTGAAATTAGTTGATAAAAGCACTCTTTAACATTGAGTACAAAATAAAATTTTATTTTTGATAAAACATCACATTTTTATAGTATACTTTATCATTCATCAATTAGTTTTTTCAAAAAATAAATAGTTTTAGCCAAAAACGTTAGGTTCCATACTTTTTATTCACCTGGTATATTTTGAATATAAAAATTATTATTGCCATTTTGGGTGTGGGAAAGGGGCCCGTACAGCCAAGATGGAACACGGGCCCGTTAAGAACTCAGTACGCCACTGGGCCTCACTAACGGAACTTATCGAGAACGGGGACGTTTCGTATTACATCGTGTCGTATCCTAGTCTTTAGGTGTCCGTAATATGTAATATAATATTTTTTTCCTAGAGGATGATTCTGGAAGAGTACGGTGAAACTCATTACGATGCCATGAATCAACCACACTTGTATTTTCAAGTCCTCGTATTAACAGGTCAATTTGAAGCCGCTATTGAATTTCTGCCCCGAATAGAAAGGTTCAGAGTTCATGCTGTCCATATGGCAATAGCTTTGAACGAATTGTATCTATTAGCAGGTTCACGAGATAGTTCAGCACCACTCAGTATGTCAACATATTTTACATTATTTTGTTTCTCATAGTTTTTTGTTAGTTTCTATTGATCCAATGGATGTGAAACCAAGTCGACGTTTGAACTTGGCACGTTTAATTATGATTTATGTTCGCAAATTTGAGATAACATGCCCTAACGAGGCATTGCACTATTTTTATATTTTGCGAAATTTTACTAATGAGGATGGCGTGAATTTATTCAAGATTTGTGTATGTGATCTGGCTATTGAAACCAAGGAGTACAACAAGATTTTGGGGGTCATTCAACCCAATGGTATAAGAACCAAAGGTTTGATTGATCAATTTACTAATGCTGAAATAAGTGCTGAAAATATTGCTCAAATGATTGGCGATTCTTTGGTAAAGAAGGGTTTGTTTGAAGAAGCAATAGATGTCTTTGATTTAGCTGACGTAAGTAATTGATTAACACAACCATCGTGTTAAAATTTATTTTTACAGAATCAAGAGGAGGTTTTGAATTTGTTTTGCACTTTATTATCACAAGTGGTTCATTTGCCTTCCCAACCAAATTCTTTAAAGGAGAGACTGTTGGAGAAGGGAAATATTTTAAGTGATAGATATACAAGAGAAGGTTATAAAGCGTCGTCCAACATTGTTACATCGTATATTAAACTGAAACAACTTGCAATATTTTTTGATCAGTACCATTCTAAACAATTTTCGTTGGCATTAAAAGTAATAATTTATTGTTTTTACTGCAGTTTTTAAAATTCTTGTTAATTGTAGACTTTGGGAGACCTTCATATAATTCCTCGTCAACCACAAGAAGTAGAAGACCGTGTGAAGGCGTTCAAAAAGTTGAACGTTGATGTCTGTAAAGTGATTCCTGATGTGCTTTTGGCAACAATGAATATGTTGTTTGCTGATTATCAGAAGATTAAAGGAAATGAATATATTCCAAGCAGGTTTAACGACAACACCCTTGAGAAAGTGAGATAAACATTATACAATTAACGTTGACTACTATTTGGTTTTTTTCAGCAATTGTCACATTTAAGGGAACAGGCAAAAATCTTGATTAATTTCACTGGGATGTTGCCTTATAGAATGCCAGGAGATACAAATAGTAAATTAGTTCAGATGGAAATTTTAATGCATTAAGGTTTTTTATATTAAACATTTTTTTAAATAAAGTTACAAAGTTTCTAATTTATACTGTACTACATAAAGATCCTTGGAAAAGTCTACCGTCTTGCCTTCTTTCATCTGAAATTAATACATTAAATTGGTATTTTAGTAATGAAAAGTGCACACACCGCCTTGTAATCTAAAAACTTTTCCTTAAATGAAACAAAATCCGTGAAAGTTGCTAATATTTCAAAAACCTCTCCAACAAGTTCGTTGGGTCGTTTTCTGGAATTTGACAAAAATATTTCACTTACTTAATTTTGACTGCAGAACGAATAGGATTACCTTAACTCATATTCAAATTCCAACATACTGAAATTTGGAATCTTCTTTTTTAATTCACTTTCTAAAAACTTCTCTATTGTTTCAACATATTTTTTAAATATTTCGGTGTAAATAAGTTTATTTTCTTCATTTTCCTCAAATTCTTTCCAGTATTCTTCCATAAAATCTTTATGTATTTTAAGAAAACTGTCATCTAAAAGAATATCTTCAATATGTCCAACAACTTGAGCAAAGTACTTTTCCTCAACATCTAGACAATGGTGTGAAATATCCAAATCATCAGCTGAACCCTCATAGAAACCTGAAACAATTACAAATTGCTCTCTCAACTAACCACACTGAATTACTAACATTGCTCTTGTGCCATTTTTGGGTCTTTTTTTTATCTTTTAAGGACGTTCAAATCAACACAAAAACATGTAATTAATCACAAATAATTTGTCATTTTTCTGCATTGTTGTTTATATTCGTTACTATGGTAACCACTGTCCCCTCTCCTGCTAGCGTTAGGGAATGTTTGTTCTGTCAGTTGACACAAATTCAAAAAATTCAAACATTTAGCCGTTACCGTTAGATTAAAACGAGAAAAATTTCAAGCGTTAAGTAAAAATTCTGTGGTGGTGTAATGGATCAGGTGATAACATTTGATAAAAGCCTTCAACAGCGTTTACAAGAATACAATGAAGTTCTCGGGGGATACGAAGTTTTGCCGGTATCTGCTATCGCCAAAGAATGGGGCTTCTACTTGGATTTAACTTTGGATCCCAACGGATGGCAAGCAGTTTGGAAAATTCAACGAAAAACCTGCGAAGCTCTCAATATTGCTTTTCCTACAGTGGTTCTTGCTTTTGTTCTGGATGTAAGTTTTAAGGAAATGACAGCGCTGGTTAGGGTTTTGGCTGTTCAGGATGACATTCACATTCCTGAAAAGCATTGGGTGCCACTGATCCAATTATGGCCCACAAAACAGCAAGATAATAGCATTGCTATTAATTTGCACTCTACAGCTAATGTCCTTGATATGTTGAGATTTTTCTATCACAATTTAATCATGCCCTGGGATTTTGAAGAAGACGATGTAAGTGACTGGAAAAGCAAGCATCTAGAGCCCCGATTGAGACTGTATTATGACTTGAAGAGTGGGGTAATACCGCGGGTGACTGCTGAGCGTTTGCACTCCCTTATGTGTGAAGCAAAGAGGATAGAACAGAAAAGGGAATACCTGGAAGCTGAACTAGATGATTTAGAAAGTTGTGATGGAGACAATAATGCTATTAATGACCCCACAGTTGAACAATTGATGGAGCTACACATCCGTTTGATGGAAATCAAGGGAGAAATGGATATTTTGGAGAATCCAATGTTGAGAAATGTTGTCATCAAAAAACAGAAAGAGATGAGTCCTACTCATGATGATACAAAACAGAACATTTGGGTTATTCAAGCGGAAAATACCGCAGATGACTGCATTGAGTTCTTACAAAAAATTAAGTCATCGTACCCAACTGAAATTCTCAGTTTTTCGCCACAACTATCCTCCACTTTAGATTATGCCAATCCAAATGATGTATTTATTCTGAAAGAAGGTACACATATGATCAATGTCACTGGGGCATTAGAACATGGAGGTATGTTAAAAGGGGTATCCATGAAAGAAAATACAATTCTAAGCTCTAAAACAGAAGATGTGATGCTAGACTTTAGAGGTGGGAACGTTGTTATTGAAAATATGACCATTGAAGCGTTGTCTCCTCAATGTGCAATAATAGTTCGTGGCGGACAACTTACCTTGAATAACTGTAAATTAATTGGAGATGGAAAATCATCAACTCATCAAGGGATACTCATACTAAATGGAGCACACTTTCAAACAATAAACTGCGAAATCAGTCACTTTAGTACTGCAATTGTTGGCAACTCAGGATCCAACATAAGCATGGAAAGCACCGAGATTCATAATTGCAATTTTGGTTTGAAAATTTATGATAACTGTGCTGTGAAAGCTACAAAAGTGGCAATTCAAAATTGCAGAGAATATGGAATTTGTGTTGAAACTGAAAATAACATAGATGATGGTCATCAAAAAGTGGGCGATTTTGATACATTAAATATGTAAGTCATCCTTATTACAACATTCGTGTAAATGTAATTTTCAATTTTCTAGAATTCCGCAACTGCAAATGGAATTTATCAGTGGGGATAACAACGCTAAAGGTGACGCCATCATTAATCAGAAATCCAAGTTGAAACCAGTTGAAAATTTGTTTGAGAGCCCCGACTCCGATCCAACGGTTTGTCTTGAATCTGATGAAGAAATGGACATTCTTCAGACCACTGTAATTGAAAATGATTGTAATGGAAGAACTTCGCCTGCTACAATTTAATATCTTGGGTTTCTCTGATAATTCTCATAAATTATAACTTGTTTACGTTAGCCTATTATTGAATAATTGTTTATTTTTGTTTAAATACATTTTGTTACTGCTGACGTTTTGTTTTAAACTACATCTTTGGCAATGCAATCGTCCATATTTGGTTTCAAAGCGTCACTTATCTTTAAAACAAGGGTGTTTTGTATTTTAATTTATTTTGTGGTAGGTAATAAAAAAGTGTGTACCAAATCAATAATTTATTGATGCGTATTGATGGCTAAAACAAAAAATGCATCAAAAAAATATTGAAATATGAATAAATACAACTATGGCGCGTGTAACATCAAAAAGTGATTTCTACAATAATGCACCAACTATAAAAGAGAGTAACAAGTCTAATATCATCTAATATCAAACCAAATTGAAAAATGATGTTCAATTTTACAGTTATGTCAGAATTCATAAAAATTGTACAATATATTTACAGAAAGATACGTAAATTTTTATAAAACTTCAACAAATATCCAAACATTATGAAGTTCTTTGTTTGACAGTAAAGATATTACAAATTCGTTCAATGTTACTCTTATCCTTTTAAGTAAAGATTAAATACAGCTTTAACATCGAGGGCCAGTACACGCTTATTCTTGACTAGGGAAAAATATGGCTGCAAGTTTACCACATGTGTGTTTCTCTAATTTCGCTAATGATGTGTGCAGCTTTTTGAAGTGCCTAAAACAAATTTTTCTTAAGTAAACTAACCCCAACACAGATAAAACTTACCTTTAACATGTCTGCGGCCTCTTTGCGCCTTTGTGCAATATGTTCAGACTCGTCCAACAATTGATCAGCGTTGTCAGCCTTATACAAATGTGTCACTAACTCAGACTGCAAATTGTCTTTAACAAAATTGACTAAAAAATGCATTACTGCCTTCGGAACCGTATCTTGAATTGATTTACGAACGATGTAGAAATACGATTTAATTAAGCGTTCTAAAAGAATCAAAATCCGCATTATTGAAAAAAAAATAAAACACCACCCAAATTTACCAATAATTTCACAGTCGTGTTCCTCATTTTCAGAAAGTTTTCTGAATGAACTGCTGTTGATTGGAACTTGTGGTAACAAATTGACAGGTTTTACTGGACTAAGAATGGATCTTATTTCCTCATTCTTTACGCTTTCGGGTACATTGCCGATGTGGTTTGTCAGTGCTGTATCCGTTCCGTTTTGAGAAGAAGTTAAATTAGAAACCCAAGTTGTCGCATCTTCATTCAATTGAGGATTACTTGAAGAACGAACCTGAAAGATATTTTTGCAAGTAGGTAATTACCTAACCTATTTTTAAACAAAAGAAACTGAAACTAAATTTCTTCAGAATTTCGACTACTAAAGATACTGCATACTACGAAAATTGAAAAAAAAAAGAATTATACAGGAAGCGCTCTCAAAATTGTTACTTAGCAAACATTTTACTTAGTACAAATCGACTCTAATTTCTGCTGTAAAAATAATTTTCCAAGTTTTTTTTGTTACAGGATATTAGGAGAGGAAACAAGGAAGCTGTATCCTAAATTGTAACTCTGATGTTCAATGTTATTTGTATCTTTTATTGGATTTTTTTGTAAATGTACGAAAACCTAAAGACTATAATTCTCCGTAACTAAATAATTATGAAAAAACATACAGGTCAGGTCACTAATGAACTTTTCAACTCGCTTATATAATTATTTAGTAAAGGTACAAAAAATTTGTCAATAAAATCACAAAACAAATAACATTAAACAGAGTTACAGTTTGGGATACAGCTTCCTTGTTTCCTCTTCTAATAGCCTATAGCAAAAAAACTTGGAAAATTATTTTTTCAACAGAAATAAATAGTCAATGTGCGAAATTTAAAGTCTCAGAACTTCGAAATAGGTAACATAGACCAATCTGCACAAACTACTCAAAAAACATTCAAAAAAGTTGTCGTCAATGTCACATTTGACATAAAATTAATTATTTCTGTGTTAATGAGCGTACTTAAAATTACACAAATACATTATTTGGCATCATGAAGTTTGGTAATTTATCATCAAATCAATTTTGTTCAAAATCAACATTCAAAATTGAAAATAAATTTTACCAATCTAGTCTTCAAATTAACATGTTACAGAACCCATGAAACACCAACATAAATCAAGTATTCATTTTTAAAAGGTTTTTAAGTCTTTCCTGACATGTTGACGTAGAGAAACGTAACCAAATCAGTGGCGTTTTAAAGGTTCTAAACATCTAAACAAGATGCATAGACAATCTGGTGCTCTAACTCCTCCCTAAATCTATCAACTGACCTACGGAACCATGTAGGGTCGTTCTGAAGCATACTTCACAGATAATTAACGGTGTCAAGAATTAATTGACAATTACAGTCAATAGTCGTCAGTTTTACATGATGTAAATTAGCTCGTCCCCTTTTGTTATGAAACCAATAGTAAGTTCGTTGTAGTTATCGACATATTGCACGACACATTTGAGAACTGATAATGTTATTTTTAGAAATGGATTTACTTAATACGCGGGATTATGATTTGTAATGAAAAACGTCACACACGTGTTTGATATTAGTTTTGCAACTAATGAAATAATAATATACCTGAACAGCATTCATGAAGTCATTATAACTAGACACAGGCAATATTCGAAAGAGATAATTAAAGAAATCGGCCTGATCAGATGCTTCTACAGCACCACGTGCAATCTACAGCAAACAACTAAAATTGTGCAATATTTTTTTAAGAACATTAAAACATACCAACTCTGTAGGTTCCGCCATTGTATGATGTTTGCTAAACATACTCTTTGGTCGATTAGTTCGAGATCCATCCCCGGATTTAATCATCGATGGCACCATTGCGATTTCTTTGTAAAAGTCTGGATGTTTAGTGTTAATGTATGCTAATTCGATTTGTACTAGATTCTCCACCATTTGATTGGTCGTTGGAAGGCGTCTTCGAAGTAATTGTGTTACAACGTCGACGATTTTTTCATACAATTTGGGAAATCGCAGCATTTCCTGTTGAACTTCACTTCCGCAGTGCTAAAAACAGAAACTAAAGCGTCACTCTAAGAAACACAGAATTAAATACTTGTATAATACGTTGCATTTCTTCGTGAATTAATTCAACGCATCGCAATGATGGTTCTTCAAGACGCCGAATCTGTCTCTTGACTAGCAATTCGAAAGAAACTTCTGGTACAAAAAGCGCAGGTCTTGGGCCGTTTGCATTTCTAATAGCGGTTAAAATATCCATTTTTGTTAAACCGGCCAAAGGGTGTATTGAATCTAAAGTCCTTCCGAAAGTTTCGTGAAAAATATAGCAAATTCTTGCTCCACCACACAATTCTGTTGTTTCAATGTTTCTTGCAGTGCCTTCTATAGTGGAGCAATAAGCTGAGGCAAACTTAGTGATAATTTGAAGCAGAGTTTTACTCTTGTCAGAAATATCTTCGCCATATGAATTAAGAAGTGATTGAAACTGGGACATCATTAAATTTACGCGAGTCTAAAACGCCAGTTATTTTATTGATATAAAACTAATTTCTGTAACATTCACCTTCAAATCAGGTAAACAGTCTCTAATGTGGTGCATTAAAAGCCTATTCAAGGTTTTCGCTAGGTACGGAGTACCGTTGCGAGTGGCTAAAGTTGGATATTTACTTTGTAAAAATGTGGCTTCGTCTTTTAAGGCCTCTTTTATGGATTTGTTATTCATAATATCTTGTTGTGAGCGATTTACAACACCGATTATACCTAATTTAACTGGAATAACGCGACCACAAAGAATATCAATAGCATCAGTACCTAAAAAAAAATATTTCGTGATAATTTCAATAAAAAATATAAAATAAAAACCTGCGTCCATTAAATCAAGCTTTGTAACGACTGCCAATGTTCTGCGACCATCAGGATCAACATCTTTAGCAATTGCTAAACTTTCTGAAGTCGCCATATCGGTGTTTGCCGTTACCACAGCCAATATTATTGAATTCGGATTAGCGATGTATTTTAGGACTAATTCACGAATTTGTTGTTCGATGTCTGGAGGTTGGTCTCCGACAGGTACCTTGGTAATACCCGGCAAATCAACTAAAGTTAAATTTACAACCTTTGTCGAATAAATTTTCAAGTTGATGGGTTCTGCACATATGCCTTTATTACTTCCAGCAATTTTATTGGTTTCGTTCTCAATTTCCTGACGAATTTCTTCAAAGTCTTTGAAGACTTTATTTTTGCAATGTAGGAAAACGCCCCATTCCTCCACCTCCATTGTCCCTAAAATTTAGACTTCTCTAGAGAAATTTACCTCAGATTTTTTTTTCAAATACAATCGATTAATCTAAGACAATGTGCTGAATCAACATCTCAAAATGTTAATGGACCCGTAGCCTTAATAAGATTAAAAACATTTTCTTTTTTGGGGAAAGTTAAACTCCACGGCAATTGTTTCTATTTTAGAAACATGCTATGCCATTCACCTACATTGGGAAGATAAAAATTTTATACAATAAGTAACTCTCATCTATAAATTAAAGAGAATCCACTCTCCATGACAGTGTAATGGATTTTAATAATTAGGACAACATTGTAGCCACAATAATCTATTTGCAAACTGGATCAAAACTTTTACTTAAATTTAAGGTTTTGACTCTCTTTTAACTAATTCTCATAATATTGCTTTTAATCGCGTTTTTTTTTTGAGTATGGAATACGTAATAACAGTTTTTGTAACCAACAATCATAATGGAGTTACAATTTACAAAATCTGTTTTTTTTAAACGGAAATCAAAGCCAAAATTTTCGTGAACATATTGGTAGCAGCCTAACTCCATAGTCACAAATTTTGTTTGCTTTTTGTTTTTGTCTCTAAAAATTTTGTTAAAAAATATGATTATGTTTTCATGTTGAAATGTCAAAATTTTGACTTTTATAAATTTTGTGTGCTTGTCTGCTTTTTGAAAAACGTTATAATCGAATACACCACAAGTAAGTACAGTTGGAGACAAAATGCTTTGGTTGTCAATGTCACTTGAATGACATTGAATTGTAAAGCATGCTTTATGCTTTAATTACATTAAAGTGTCAGAAAAGTGACGACCAAAGTATTTTGTCTCCAACTGTACAGTTAGGCACACGGAATTGCGGACAAGACTGTCAATCTAATGGACAGCTTTAGTTTATTAACCTCACTTTACAATCACAGAGGGATCGACATTTACGTGGAATTCATTGACGTGAAGATGAAATATAAATTTAAAAATTTGACTTTTAAATATGTCATATTGACAATAAAGAATAGTTTAGACCACAATTTTTTGTATTCAGAGAAAAGTCCTGTCTGAAATTCTGTGCACCTAACTGTACAATGTTGTGGGCAAAAATGAATTTCTTATTACGATAGTACAGTTGGAGACAAAATACTTTGGTCGTCACTTTTCTGACACTTTAATGTAATTCAAGCTTTAACGTTAAAATGAATGACAATTTCAAATTAATGACATCTATTATATTTTTCTATCAAAAATATGTACAACTTGTCAACTATGATTTGACAGTAGCTAAAAATAAGGTTAACAGTCCTAAAGCATGCTTTACAATTTAATGTCACTCAAGTGACATTGACGACCAAAGTATTTTGTCTCCAACTGTATTATGTTATTAGGAGCAAAAATGATAAACTCACTTTTACTCCAAATAACATATACTATTTTATCCGCATACGTATTTATATTAAGAGTAAAGAGCAACATTATAATTAGCAAGTAACTAATCAAAACAATTTGCAATGAAATCATAACAAACGTCATGCGTCAGTATCAGAAATTGTTAACTAGCGCAGTTAGTAGTACAAAATGTCGAATGCTGATGATCTACAATGGATGTATATGGTTGAAGTTACATTTAGTCATAAAAGTGGTCACTTTTGTTTTGCCGATAAAAACTTTCAATGAAAAGTGTCTATACAGAAAAAAGTTTTTTAAAAGATACAAGCAGGTATTATGAAGATTGGCAATAAATTTTGTGTAATTTATTGAAATGAGCTCAAAGTTTGTAAATTCTTCTACAGCTTTAGTTTTAAGATTCTTACTTTTTCAACTCGTTCCTTAAAAACGGTGTAACCAGACACACTAATTTAATTGCGTTTTATCTCATTCACGTTTCCTATGTATTCTCGTCAATTTCTTGCTAAAAATTAGAGAATATTTAGCAAAATCTGCATTATAAATTGCGTCTAAATTTTAACGGTGGTCTTTTTCTGACTTCTGCATACACACTTTTCATCTCTGAATTTTCTTAGACAATTTTTTGTGATGAAGATTAATTAAATTGTTTACAAATTTATTAAAACTACCATGAATGAATTTGCTACTAGTGCAAACGTGAAAACTGTTTGACACATTTCCGTTTAAAAATAGTTATTTATTCGACGAGTTTGAGTGTAAATCGAACTCTTTATTTGACCGAGTGGATTTTTAAACCACGAGTGTAACGAGTGCTTTACCATCCACGAGGTGGAATAAAGCGTCCGATTTACACTCAAACGAGTGGAATAGAACATTTTATTCTTCGAATTAGAGTGAACAAGGCTTAAACTTGCTTTAAATCTGTTAAAAATAATTTGACGTTTTGTATTGAGAAATGCCAAACAGTTGCCAAAACTTCCTTACACGGGAGAAAAACCGTAAATTTTGACAGTGTCGAAGAATAAAACAAATTTTACTTATCAAATATGAAATATGTACAAATAAAAATACCATTTTTGAACTACATTGTGATTTGAAGTACACTGTCAGTTGCAAAAGTACAAAATCAAAGCCAATAAATATGCAATAAGAAAAAATACTCATATTTGAATATAATTTTAAAGATGTTTATTATGTGCATGAATTAAACAAAGCATACAGTTAAAATAAAGCAACAAATGCCAAAGTAATCAAGAAATCCAAACTTGGATTCCTTTCATATCCAGTAGTGTGAATCATCAATTATTTTTTATGATAATGAACCTAAGAAACTTACAAATAAAATGCTTGTGTACTACATTTCTAAATTCATAAAACTAACTAAAAATTTTCTTATAAATGTATGTATTAATGTGCAAAATCAAAGGAATTTACATACCATCAATTGCGGCTCTATGCTCCCTGTCATCCTTAGGACAATAAACTAATTGTAAAACAAGAGGTACTCGTGTAACAATACCAGTTCCTCTTGGTAGAAACGATTTTCCAACTAAGCTTTCAATAACTGAACTCTTGCCTGAACTCTGGAAGATAGGTTATGTAAACCAATCGAAAACGAAGCTTGATTAATTAACTTACTTGCGATCCCAGTACTACAATTTGAGGTAATTGAATGGCATCTGATCCAACAGTATTAAAAACGTCTTGCAATTTGTTGATAACGGGAATAAGGGCTTCCATTGTCTTTATAAACCGGTCGATTTCCAAAAATATCGATTACAGTGTCTTAGTTTTTAAGTTATCAATCTTAAATAGACAACTAGTTACACTAACATTATTTAAAATTACACAACACTCGATATATAAATTAGATGTTAATTTTAATAAACGAATCACTTCGTACGTTAAAACTGCAACTGAAAAGCAGACAAATCAGATTTTTTGTGTCAGTTAGTTTTGGTGATATAGTTGGTTCCTTTAGTAATATATTGTTGGTGTTCCTGAGAGTCATTCAAATTCCTGGCGGCAGCATACAAATACATAATTGGCTTCTAACTCCCTCAGTAGGTATTAGGTAACTACTAATATTCTCACGTCTAAAATAATGAATACAATACAAAGATTTAAAAAAATTTCTTATATTAATATTCAATATTAACAAAATAATTAATAAAGCAATGTTTAAGAATTATGCACTTTTAATGTTAGTCTATATTCTTATTATTGTTGGTGTATTTAAAACAAAAATACTACAAAAAAAAATAAAATAAAGAAAAACAACACACTTAAAAATTGTGCCGCTAAATTTACAGTTAAAATTCCAAAAAAAATTAAAAAGTAAATGATAATGTTTCCAGAAAAAAGTTATTACCAATTTAATTAACATTTTAACAAAGAGTTATAAATAATCTTGTCATTTGCATAAAATCAAGAAATATTGGCGGACTTGACTTACCTAAATATAAAAGAAAATAAAATAATTTATTAAAATATATCAGAATATTTCACACTCATACAAAAGCTCCAACAATTTTGGGACTTGTTGTTTTTATATTTCTGTGTGTTTTAATTTGTTAAACTGAGAAAAACAGTTATGCTCTTATCTCAGATATATTGTTTATTGAATGTCATCAGCTGTTGCTCTTGTGAAAGACTAAAATGTCTGCCAATTTTCTAAATAATTTCTTTTGTAAAGCAACAAATAGCATAAAAGTACAACGTATTGTGAGGAATAGTTCAACAAGTGCCAAAAATGTGGCGTACAAAACTAAAGTTGCTCAACAAATAAATCGAATCAAGAATCAAGCTCTTTTAGGTGGTGGACTAAACAAAATTGATGAACAGCATAAAAAGGTCAGTAGTTACAGATTATATTATAATCTTACTTTGAGTGGAATCTTTGTTTTTGTTTTCAAATACAGTTTTCACTTTTTTTATTAACTCAAACATATTAGTTTGGAAATTTTACTTTCATCTTTTATCGATTCTTCATTATATTTAATTGATTCATTTGGCCTAGAAATGAAAAAGAATTTTGAGGTTTTCAAGAAATGAGGGATTTTAATGTTATTTGGGACATTTTTGATGATTTTAACCATTTTTTAATTAGTACCAAAACCACATTGGTTCTGAAATACTAATTTATTGTGGATTATTATGCTTGATTTTCAACCATTTTTTCATGTGTCCAATTTTCAGTGATCTAAAGATATTTAGGTTCTTCGAAGGTATACAGAGTGTCAATTTTAAAACTTGCAATCGACGATATCTCTAGAACTGAAAGTTATCTAGAATCACTCAAAACCGTTTCGGTGGTCTAGGGGGTATCAAAATGACATGGTAAGTGACGCACCTCCCCCACCCTTGAAGCCGCAGCCACCTTAAGTTGAAAATCTTAAATGGCACTACCCTACTTGTGATACATCGTTGAAAAGTTCATAACAAGTGCTTTTCAAAAATGTCATACAAGGCCCTATTTAGTAAAGCCGTTTTTCCAATTCTTCAGAAACAAAGACTCTAAATTTTCATTTTTTTTTGTTATTTCAAGGGAGGGTGGAGATGCGTCACTAACCATTTCATTTAGGCTCCCCCTAGGAACCACCAAAACGGTTCTGAGTGATTCTCAATAACTTTTTCAGTTACTCGATATTGCCGATTGCAAGTTTTAAAATTGACACAGTGTATAAAAACAAGTGGTTTTTGCACTATTCAAACTCCATTGCGTTTCTTGAATACAGAATGTTCCGTTTTTA